GTGTATGGCCGAGTACGCGGTCGCACGCCGAGTACATGGAAGTGCGTGATATCTTGACTTTCCCATCTCACCCTTTCCTTTCCGTCTTGGCCGTCTTTTTCGCCTGTCTCGGGGGGTGGTATTTGACCGAGTTGGTCATCAGGAGGTTGCTGCTAGAAACGCGGTAGCTCCGCACACATATTTCATCGGACAGCTGCTGACCTCCGTCGTTACAGTCAGTGATTCAACGCAGAGGATACACCCTCATCGACGTATTCAGGGCGAGGGCGATGGAGATGGACGAGAAGTCCCAGCCCTCCGATGAGAATAATAACAACGCCGTCGCCCCCGGGTCCGAAGGGCAGGTTTGGGATGTCGTTTTGTATAAGGCCGAGAGTGATGAAGAGTCTGAGAGTGATGAAGTGTCCGACAGTGATGAAGATTTCGACAGTGACGAAGAATCATTCGACGATGGAGGGATTGAAATCGTGTTCGACGCAGATCCTATTGACGACGAGATCGAAGACGAAGAAATGGAGGTGGATATTGATGATGATAGTGATATTCAGGAAGAGGGAGATGATGAAGGAAGTGAGGAAGAGACCAGTAACGCCGGGTATGCAGAGAAGGAAAAGGATAGAGAGAAAAGGTGCAATGGTTGACAATACTCTCCTTGGTATCGGAAAAACAAAGGATGAGTCCCTAGTCACTTCACTTTCTTGCCGATTCTTGACCCAGCGATGGACGGTGGTTTTAGTTATGGATTCCACATGTAAAATGGATGGGCACGTATATATCTGCCTTCAGTATTCGGGTGTTCTTGTACATTCTCAATCCTAGGAGCAAGATACTAGTTCATTAGGTACCTCATTGAATAGCCATTTCTTCCCCTATTCGAGATAGCGAGTTACCCTGATGCCGTCTCATTCCATCCAGAATAGAATGGGCCAGTCCATGTAGCTAGAGATGCTGTACCGGCCTCGATAGTCATATCTTAGGCATTATATGACGCCCCTATTTCCTCCTTCAACTTTGTCCTCACCTCGGCCTCTTCAGGCGCGATTCAAAGTACTGAAACCCATTCCAATCCCCAAGTCTACTATTATGCAATAGTATAGGTTCTTATGTATATAAAAAATGGCTACTTACCCACCGTCGCCTGGTACTCCATGCATCTATCTACAAGTGTAAATTGCCTTGTCGTGCTACTAAGATGGTTATTTCAATGTTCCGACATATTAAGATATATTCTTTGTATTTTACTTTGCCTACCTAGGTATTTTTCTAACATATATTCTACCGCTGTTGCTATTTGGCCGTTGTGGACTTTCCATCCTTCCCTGCTAGTTGTCCCTTGCTGTGGCTATCACTTGTAGATATGTTGACTGGGGATGAGCCTTGACTTGTCAGGCTTGTGTACCTAGCTCCTGCTTTAAAAGCCTCCATGTTCTGCCTCTATCCCAAGCATGAATTGCAGCATATTGGCTGCCTAGCTGAAATAGCATTTCGCTGAGGGTAAAACGGAAAGCACACCACCTATGAGCGAGGAAGAGCGACTATTACGCAATACAAGTGATGGTCGGAATCTGACCGCATGTTGCGACTTGCTGACGCTACGCCACGACCCCTCCAATTACATGTCGTGATCCGTCGAGGTAGTTTGGTCAGTACGGGGCGCTGCACTGGGGAACCTTCCTATCCCGGTCATTGGTTGCGTTGGCTGCGTTACTCTCTAGCCGAATGAGTGAGATGCAGATAAAGAAAGATCGGGCAAACAATGCTTGTTCCGATGACATGCCTCACTTGCCGAGTGGATGATCTAGCTTACCTAGTCTGATTCATCGTCTTCCGATGATCCGGATTATTTTATTCTGTATAAATAACGGACGACTGCGGGCCGTAGCTTGGCTTCTTGGTCTTCGTGCATCGGTATTGATCTATTATGTTTGGCAACATGAAGCTGAATGTGAGGTCAATTGGCCTATTGGCCCTCCTACAAGATGTTGGGGCAATGCGAATAAGACGGGACACGGCTCGGGACGAGCTGCAATATGACGCCAACTATTTCGATCAAAAGATCAACCACTTTCCCGACTCCGAGCAGTACGGAGGATATGTGAACGATGCTACCTTCAAGCAACGATACTACTTCGATACCTCCTATTATCAGCCTGGTCAGTCATTCTATTGTCTTTTGTGCGTCAACATGTAGATGCTAACTGTCCTATAGGCGGACCGGTGTACCTTTACATCTCAGGAGAGACCAGTGGTCCCAGCAGATTCTCCAATTTACAAACTGGAATCATTCAGATTTTGATGGAAGCTACAAATGGCCTAGGTGTGTAGGAAAACAAGATGGAGAAATAGTCGGCGAGCTGTAGGACGATAACTGACGAGTCTCGAAGGTGTTATTCTCGAGAATCGCTACTACGGGGAATCTTATCCCTTCAACACTAGCACCACGGACGAGCTGCTCTTCCTCACTACCAATCAGACGATAGCTGACAACGCCTACTTTGCACAAAACGCCGTTTTCCCTGGGATCGACTGCGACCTGACGGCGCCTGGCACTCCATGGATAGTGTATGGAGGCAGTTTGGCAGGACTTCAGACTGCACTTTCTATCAAGGTGTGGGGAGACGTCCTCTACGGAGGCATCGCCTCTTCCGCTCCCATAAAGGTGAACGTGGGCTACCCTGAGTGGTATAACCCGATTCAGAAATATGCACCTCAAGACTGCATCACACGTATCAACAAGATCGTTGACAACTTTGATTTCCTTATTGCCAAAAACTATACAGCGGCAATCAAGGAATTCAAGGCTCTTTTCGGCCTCGAGGCTCTGACGGACCATAGAGACTTTGCAGCTGCTATTGCCGTGAGTCATTCTCCTGCCTGCTCGTATGCCATCACATATACACTTATGGTTTTGGGGAATCATGTCGATTGAGTTACTGACGAGCTGCGTAGGATCCGATAGGCAACCCCGGCTTTTATAAATCAAGCACGTGGCAAGAATTGAATTGGAATTATACCTACGGATCACGAGACTTTTTCTACTTCTGCGGCAACGTTTCTGACATTGACGCCCCTGAAGAAATCACCCAGGTGGACTACGCATGGGCAAATTACACCAACGGGGAACCCTGGACGTAAGACCATTTCCAATCCAAACTTGTCTTCGAAGCCACCTGCTGCGTTGCAAGCTAGTGTTGAGGCCGAAGAGTTCATACGCGGACTCTTGATCCATATGCTCTCAGACCAGTTCATCAACTAACTTCTTGCAGTGGCCTTGGTAGCTATGCCAACTACATCAAGACTTATGTTCTCCAACTTTGTACTTCAGGGGACCTTAACAGCAACGACTGCTGGGTAAGTGACCGTCTTCATTCGATCCATGTTTCCATTATTAGCCGAAGGTCATTCACAAGTTGGCTATTACTTCTGTTCCAGACAAGCCTTGAGCTTCTTAATAACTGACATATGTTCTGCTTCTTTCTAGGGCACCCAGAATGCGTCAGCCTGGGCCAACATAGAAAACACCAGCACACGCTCGTATCTTTACACAAGCTGTATAGAGCAGGTAAGTATCCATCGAAGAGAATATGTGATGGCCGGGGACAAAGCTAATTAACAACTTTCAAGGGTTCATACATCGATGCACCAAAAGAAGGCCCGACCCTGCTGTCTCGAGTTATTGACACCAGCTACGAGCAGCAGTGGTGTACCTGGGCCTTTCCCGCTGGAAAATACAACTCGATCCCTCCAAGTCCGGACGTGGGCGTGTACGACAACTTCGGCGGCTTCAACCTGAGTGCGGACAGACTGGCATTCATCGATGGCGATCAAGACGTTTGGAATGATCTATGCTACCATTCCAACTTCGCGCCCCCGCGGACCGTATCGTCTGACCTGCATCCGGAACTGCTGATCACGGGGGCCGGCCACCACTGGGACTCCTACGGCATCCTGGATGTCGAGGCCGAACCTCAGTTTATCCGAGAGGCCCATAAGTGGGAGATCAAGACGGTGAAGAAGTGGCTCCGGGACTTTGATAGCTGGAAGAAATCGAAGAATTCATAGACCTGATGCCTTGATCCTAGAGTTACGATCGGCAATACGACATAAGAGATGAATCCTTATGGATAGCCCGGGCTTAGAAGCAGACGCTCTTAGGCAGGGAGTACTGTGTTCATTTCTTGATAGCATTGGGCAATAGCAAGCATAGGTAGCTTATAATGCATCATTCGTGCCTGGATGTATTGGAATCTTGGAAAGGCGACACTGTTAGGTAGGTAGTTCCGGATGGTACTGCATTGGATCGCTTTCAAAGAGGGTATCGAGGTAAAAGTAGTACTGCCTCATCTCATCTGTGCTATCCTCTGATCGTCTTCCGCAGTAGCAAAGTTCACCTGCTTATAGTGTCTCCTGCAAAGAGCTACATAGTGCATACTATCTAGCAAGTCGTTCTTGTTAGATATCAGATCTAGATGAAAGCAGGAAAAACAGGGGCCAGTTCACACGACTATTTACCTTATGATCCCTAATAGTTGCCGGTAAAACCACTGAGATGCATGTACGTAACTGCAACGTGAAAGACATGAGGGATCTCGGATTAGGACCTACCTACAAACAAATACAACAACTACATCATTCATTACGAACTGGATATACCCATATGATTACCACACAAGATTGCATTATGTAGTTGTACCTGTATGAATTTCTCTTGACTGACCCAGATATGAAGGTCATAATCACTAGGTCAGGTAGTCTGTAAGATCATGACGTTCCTCAGCATCTCCACGAACTGGAATGATACTCAAGTGACAAGAAGACGTTCAAAGAGGACCGTCTCAAAGGAAGTGGGGGAAGGCTTGACGATGATTGAAATGCCTGATGTTCTACCTATACTGTGATGCTTGGGATGATGGAGCGAAAAGGATACTGTTCATTGGCTTGAGAATGAGTGTGGGTACGGAGGTTAGGTATATAGTGCAGGTTTCAAGGCCGATTGTCAAGGGCGCGTGGCCTAATGGTAAGGCGTCAGATTTCGGCGCTTAAGATGATCTCTGAAAATTGCAGGTTCGATCCCTGCCGTGCTCGTTTTTTTGTATTTCGATAGTCTAAACCTTATCAGACCGTTATCTTCAACAACTTGATTTTCTGTTGCAACTTTCCCATTTCTACTTCGTACAATTTGTGATTTGATTGTTCCTGTTTTTATTAGTTCATAGCCGAGACTCCTGATGCTACATGAATTACACAGTTTCAATTTCACGTCGTCATTATCCATAATGGGAACACCATTTATTCCCTCCCTTGCGGTCCTACGGTAGGGGACCCCGCTTTGTGTGTTCCATTATCTTGGAGTTGACCGAGATCGGCCCACTAAATCTTTACTTTCTTCCAAGTAATTGCTCATGCAGCATGCCTGGCAGCTGGCTTGGTCACTTAACAAAGACAGCACTCGCAGTATCCTCAGTGGCTGACCTAGGTGGCTCACCGCAGGAGAGTGATTTAACTACAAGCAGTGGAGGGCGATTCTCATTTACTTCTGCGTCTTAATCGACAGTTATCCATGAATTGGCTGGACCGGTAGGACTGGCTGTCCACTCTTTCTCATTTCCGTTTCCGCATTTGGTGGTGTAGTAGCTCAGTATCAGCTCGAATAAATCGCATCCTCCATCCACAACATGTCTGCATCCTTGCCAGGAAATCGAGAGTTGCCCGAGTCGCAGTATGATCTGAGCACGTATTGGGGACGTGTCAAGCAGACAGCCACCATCACGGACCCAAGGTACGAAGTTGCTTGCCAGGGATTTGGATTCCTTCTCTGACCAAGACTTTGTCCAACGGTAGAACCCTACTCGCGGGCAAACATGGCCTCGAACATGCCAAAAAGCTGGTGATCGCGTACAAGCAAGGCGAGATCAAGGATATGACTCCCGAGTTATGGAAAGCCAAAAAGATCGTCGATTCTACATTACACCCAGGTACAGTGCAACGGCCAGCTTGGCCTACATCGTTCTATGTCGTAGATTCGAGTAGTCGCGTTAATTGTCCTCGTTAGATACTGGGGAGCCCGTCTTCTTGCCTCTTCGCATGTCCTGCTTCGCGTTATCGAATCTGGTCGTCACGGCTGGGATGCTCACACCAGGTTTGAAGGTGAATTCTGTCTTCTGTCTATCCCATAGTCTAATCATACCACTTCCGAGTACGCAAATCTCACACGGGGGTCGTGATAATAGACTACCGGCACCATCCTCTGGCAAATCACCAATCAGTCTCTGAATGTCGCCATCAACTCCGCGAACGCGAACAAGTCGACACCGCTCTCTTACTCGAAAATCGCCCAATCCTACTTTCTTGCTGTAGGCGCATCCTGCTCTGTAGCGGTCGGTCTCAACTCCTTGGTTCCCCGTCTGAAGCGACTCTCGCCCTCCACCAAACTCATCCTCGGCCGCCTCGTACCCTTCGCAGCCGTCGCGTCCGCAGGCGCGCTAAACGTGTTTCTCATGCGAGGCGAGGAGATGCGCACCGGGATCGACGTCTTCCCGGTGCTCTCGGAGTCCGACAAGGCGAAGCTGGCGACGGAGGGCAAGGCCGAGAGCGATGTTCCGAGCCTCGGGAAGAGCAGGAAAGCGGCGACATTGGCAGTGAGCGAGACGGCGTTGAGCCGAGTCTTCAACAGTAGTCCTATTATGGTGGTTCCGCCGCTGATCCTCGTGCGGCTGCAACGAACCGAGTGGCTGAAAAGGAATCCTCGCTACACGCTGCCCATCAACCTCGGGTTGATCCTGGGCATGAGCTACATCGCGCTACCTTTCGCTCTGGCAGCGTTCCCCCAGCGACAGAAGATTAGCGCGGACAGCCTGGAGGAAGAGTTTCGCGGCCGCGGGGGGGAAGGGGGCATGGTAGCGTTTAACCGTGGGATTTAGGTGCAAATATAGCAATCACTTGGCAGCGCCGCTGACGATAGTAGACTTTCTATAGCAGACTGCTCTAGGCGTCTCGTAAGCAAGGTCGAAGAGGGACTCATGATTACCTGGTATACTATGAGATTTCCCCTGATAGTTTAGCATGGGGAAGGGGGAAAAACTTGAGAGCATCGTCGAGTATCAAATAGTTTCAAGATTGACGGTGCTGAACATCAGATGGAGACGAATTCAAGTTTGGATCTGTTTCATACTGCAGAGAAACGAAGAGTGTATGAAATACCTGAACCTCAATATTGAACCCTGTTTTTTTTTTAAATTACAATTTATAGGTGATGGTCCCTAAAAGGAGGCCCGGTATCCGGGTCTCAGCTTTGGCGGCCAGCCCATCTGAACGAACTGCCTCACGTATGTCTGGGGTGCATGTCTTCGCTGTGGCGATCCGGGAGGGAATGTTCGGGTTCAGATGGATTGTCATTGCAGGGTTTGATTTAGTTTCGGGCACACTGACCTGCTGCCTAAAATGTATGTACGATTATGTATTTATCGTACGGTCTCGGCTACATCGAGACGCGGCATGTAAAAATCCCATTTGAGACAAGGGGGCTTCTCCGTTTTCTACCTCTTTGTAGGTTAGGCGGTGCTGAAAGCGCACTTTAGAAACGCCGGTCAGTGTTCCGAGGATGAGGAAGGAAGAAAGAAAAGGAAATAGGACTTTGGACTATCGAAGCTTTCGCTGCAGCTTCAAGGATTGATCGCCGCTGGCTGACGTGCGGCGCTGCTCAGTGAGATCAGATTTGGCCTCAACTACGGATCCGTAGGTAGGTCTGCAGATACATAGTAGGCACGATTCCTTACTGTTGGCCGAGAGGAGTCGCAGGAACAGTTCGGTTCTGGCTTTTAGGCACTGAATGCTTAGTGTATCGTCCGTGTCTGCCCTGTTTGCGGTGGGAACGGGAAGTCTGCCTTGTTCTGTGTCGAAGCTGATGGCTACCGTAGTAGGTACTTCAATACGTGTATGTATGTACATACTGTAAGTAAGGCATCTAACCAACCTATTTATCCAGGCGAAGCTACTCGAGAAAACACGTAGTTGTCAGGTATGCCCTGGATATGATGTTTGACATATGCTGGTTCCTCGGGAGGCAAGTTGACAGCGGAAAGGTGCTTCAGGCAGGGCTCCGATAAAGCTAGGTGATTTGCTACCAAGTAAATGTTTTCATTTGGACTGGATATACCGCCGTGTATGTAGGAGCGGCAGAGCAACGTAATAATACATCGGGAATACGGTAGGTACTGGCCCACAAGCCCGACTTAATAAGAGTCATGCTGTCGGTGCATGTTCTTGGGGTTTATTATGTACTACCCTGTTAAAACTCATTTCTTGAACCCTGGGGGTTAGTGGTTTATACATTTCAGATCTCATCCCAAGTAATTGCCCAATGCCCACCGGAGGAGCTGTATATCTTCACCACGGTGCTGTAATTATATTGAGCCTGGAGACAATGATAAAAGTTTGGCAAATACTTTACCATCGTGTGGCAATTCACCTCTCCTAAATCGCTCGTCCGTTGTCCCGATTCCCTGGCTGCCTGGACTGTAGAATGACGGGAAAAAACGGCCGAAGAGTCCGTCGCACGGTATTCCTAAATCATCTGGGGACACATGTAATAGGTACGCACTGACGAACTGAGTCTAATTTATAGGAACGTCTCCCCACCAGGTACTTATACGCGATGATTATGAAGCTTCAATAAGCAGATTAACTGCTAATAATTAAACGGTTCGGCTCGCTCGAAATAGTAGGACCCAAGCCTTACTGTGAGTCTGTGAGTAAGACTTAAACCTGGAATAAGTAGCGAGAATAGCCTGAGATGTATGTATGCACGCTTGTCCTCGAGGATCGCGGAACTGCCACGCGGCGCGAGAACCCCTCCATCACTTACCAGGTAGGCTTAGATACCTATCGTATACGGTATGACGAGACCCTTTGATTTGTACTCTCCAACGAAGAGGAGCCAACCCGCAGAAACGGATAAGGCTGCAAGTAGAAATCGTGATAATCTGGTGGCCGTTGTTGTACATACATGATACATGGTACTGACGGTGAGGGGAAAGCTAGTGCTGCAAGAGATGCATAGGCGACACCATGTAAAGAGGCGGACAGACTTAGGCGAGCCGAGAATCAAGTACCAATAACAATGTGGCAATATTTGCCGTCTGCCCTTCGGGAGCGTTGTCGACGATAGGTAGCCTTTGTCGCTGGCAAATGTTTAGGTGATGGGATCGTATGTGATGTAGTATTCTTGAAGGGTCCACCACCGACCTACTGATACCAACCGTCTAGCACCAGCCCTTTTCGTGTGGGAGGGGTGGCCCTTATAATCTGGTATAAATGTACACAATGTAAGGAAGGGAAGGAAGGAATCGGAAGCCGAACAGAGTGAGTACACATGTTCGACAGGAGAATTGAGACAAGCTTGCACCCAGAGGGACAGCCTGATCCTGGAAAATACCACACAAAGAGTGGGTGAGTGATAATATGCGAAATGCTAGGGATGAAGAAAAGAGAGAGGTTAAGCTAGAAATACCTATGTAGGTAGTTCGCAGATGGAGGTTGTTTTGTATATTTACCTCCGTACTATATAGGCACAGGTGAAGGTGTTGAGACTCGGGAGAGATGATGATTGTGATGATGAGATGGATAAATTGGTTGGCTTCCACGAGATACTAGGTTACAGTGAAAGGTCTCTAGATAATGGGCGTTGCCGTATCGACAGAATGACAATACACACTCGCGATAACCTACCTCATGATCCTGTTGCCCTGACAGTTGGCTGCCAAGTGAGATCCATTGTTTTGCCCGACTTTTTGGTGCCCTGTTGCCTTACTTGTCCTACGACCCACTTTAGTTGGTAGTCATCCCTCCCCCTAGACTAAAGCTGGTTCTCACTAGTAATTTCAACCCACCATTATTTCTAACCTATTTTTAATTATCATTAATTATATCGTAAAATATTTCCATTAAATAAAGGTTTTATAATTTAAAAAAATCATTTTTAAAATAAGAAAGTAATTTATTAAAACGAAAATATTTTTATAAAAATTAAACGTTTATATATTAATTTTATTTTATTTTTTTAAAACTAAAGGTTTTATAATTATAAA